TTACTGTCGATGGCACTGGGGGGGCAGCAGTGTGCTGTCTTACTGTCGCTGGCACATGGGGGGCAGCAGTGTGCTGTCTTACTGTCGCTGGCACATGGGGGGCAGCAGTGTGCTGTCTTACTGTTGCTGGCACATGGGGGGCAGCAGTGTGCTGTCTTACTGTCGATGGCACATGGGGGGCAGCAGTGTGCTCCTGCCGCTTTTTTGTTTTCCACCCTTAACACCAAAGGGGACTCCAGCCTCTCTTCCTTCTTTTGAGGTCTCTCTTTCCCCCTCCCTCCTCGCCCTTTTTCCTTGGAGGCACAGAGCCCAGCAGCGGCCGAAGTTCCCCTGCCCCCTCTCGGCCTGACAGCCGGCCGCTCACTCCGACCCTATCCCTGAACCCTAAACATTTCCATCTTCCAGGTAGGCCTCTCCTTCTGCCTCCCCCTCTGCCTCTGCCCTGTGCCTCCGCCCTGTACCTCCGCCCTCTGCCTCCGCCCTGTGCCTGGGCTCCTCCCTCTTCCTGTCTTCCTGTTTTCCTGGCTTTTCATGTCACCATCCCTTCCCATCTCATTCCTCTCTGTCTGAAATGGATGCACATGGGATATTTTACACATAACTACATTAAACCACCATATTCACAAATACTTTCTCCTTACATATTTATGTTGGATCATCTCCTAGTCCCAATGGATATCCTTACATTTATGCAGTCAAATCCATACTGTCAAGTTTTTTTAGATACATTTTAAAGACGAGTTTTTATAGTGTATATAATATATATGCTGTAATATATAGTATTTATGGTATATTTGCAGTAATGTGCAGTATATTTAGTGTATACTGCGTAATTTAATGTGTAGTGTATATAGTATATGAAATGAAAGCATGCAATGGTATATATGTGGCGGTGAGTAGTAGTCATAGAGTGTAAGCTGCAGTAGTACTCAGGCTGCAGTATGCAGTGCGACATGTGTCATACGCAGCTGTGCGTTATTGTCTCTCTCCCATGCCGCACTGCTCATGTATCTGACATCTCCGACTGTGCATATGGACAGGCATTGTGGGCGTGACTCTGGACTGCCACCCTCACTGTGTCACACGCGTGTCATGTGACTCTGGACTGCCACCCGCCCTCCCATGGCCGTCGTGCTCGTGCCCCACTGCTGCCGGCACCCCTGCCACCCTCACCGTGTCACACGCGTGTCATGTGACTCTGGACTGCCACCCGCCCTCCCATGGCCATCGTGCTCGTGCCCCACTGCTCCCGCCACCCCTGCCACCCTCACCATGTCACACGCGTGTCATGTGACTCTGGACTGCCACCCGCCCTCCCATGGCCATCGTACTCGTGCCCCACTGCTCCCGCCACCCCTGCCACCCTCACTGTGTCACACGAGTGTCACGTGACTCTTCTTTTCTCTTCTGTTTCCAGATCAAGGCATCAACATGTACCGGAAACCTCCCATCTACAAGCAACACGGTACTACCCGCGCATACACAGCACAAAGCACACACAGAAAGGCAGGCAGCCTTTCTAATGTAACTCTTCAGCTTCACGCACGTCCTGCCTCCCTGCTACTGCTCGCAGAACCCTCTGTAGACAGGCAGTCTGTGTTACTGTGAGGATGAGTCTGCGTGAGCCAGCGGGGAAACGCCAGGAATGGCTGGTTCCTCTGGACTCTAGAGAGCCTCAGTAGAGTGTGTTTCGTCCATGTTTGCACGAGGCCGTTAGCTGCCCCCCTTGCTTTGGGCTTCGCCTTCATGCAGCAGTGCTGAATAGCAGGAGGCTAAGCTTCTTACATGGGCGCCTTGGGGAGGGAGACCTGAAACATGGGAGAGCGACAGCGCAGTTAGTGTCACAGAGATGGTTAGTAACTGTATAAAAGGTGGACGCAGCCTTAGAGCTCTGAAAAACTCCCTCATGTTTATGCATCATGTGACCTCTGACTGCTGTTCTGTTTGTCTCTTTGTGTCATGGCTCCACCACCCTCATTAACATCCGCCTTCATCTCATCTGACCGCCGTGTAAGTACCACTCCATCTCCATCTCTCCATCTCTCCATAATGACCGAGCCATGGATGATCCTAGCGTTTCAGAGCCAAAGTGCAGGACAAAGCATGGCTGGGCCAGCACATCTGTCAGATACCACACAGCACATCTGTCAGATACCACACAGCACATCTGTCAGATACTATACAGCACATCTGTCAGATACCACACAGTGCAGCCGTCAGGTACTATACAGCATAACCATCAGACACTACACAGCCATTAGATACCACAAGATAGGTTTGTTGCTGTCCCAGTGTTGGTCCAGTGTCGGCCCAGTATAGGTTTGTTGCTGTCCCAGTGTTGGTCCAGTGTCGGCCCAGTATAGGTTTGTTGCTGGCCCAGTGATACCTTCCACTGGCTCCACACTGGGGCTCTCTGCTTTGTTGTTTACAGCAGTCATGATTCTCCTAGCCTAGTACATCACAAGCCAGACTTTCCATTGCTGGCTGTGATCTGTCAATCTGACAAAGAGTTAGGCTGAGGCAGCACCAGCTGGAGCAGGGAACACCGAGGAAGGTTCTGGAGAAACCCAACACCAGCCCACTGATAGAATAGTGTCCCCCTCGCTGATCCTCTAGATTTAGCTGCCCTGGCGACCCAGAGCAAGTCCGCCGATGACATCATCAAATCCGCCAAGTTCCCGGCGGCACACGCCCCTAACCCCGACGCGACGCCAAAGATCGAGACAGACCACTGGCCCTGCCCACCCTCCCTCGCTGCCGTAGGTAGGCTCCTACCCATCCCCAGGGCATGCTGCGGATTCCGATTCAGACCTGAGCAGCTGCGCACAGATCCTCGTCTTGACCGCATCACAACCATTCTACAACATGTCCTTGTGCATTTCTGTCTGTCTGCTTTTTGCTCTCCGCGGTGCCAAAGCTACCGGTACTGCTCAGGTCTTCGGCTATAAATGGACCCTGGTTGACCTGGGCTGATGTCTGCATTCTTGGCTCCTTCAGGGACATTGTGGTGTTTGTGCATTGTGTCGAGCTTTCTGACTCACTGTAAGCGGTGGCCTCGTGCTGCCCCCGTGAGGTCAGTGGTGCTGTGTCGGACGCGGTCCACGTGACACCCTAGTTGTGTTAGCTCACTGCTCTGACTCCCCCAGGGTCAGACGGGAGGCGGCGCTCACAGGAAGAGGATGAGGAGGAGCTACAGAAACGCAGACACATCCAGGAGGAACACCTCAGCAAGGTCAGCCCATGGAAGGGGGCTCAGGATAGAGCCAATCTGAACAGGCATTGTAGGCAGGGCAGTCAGTGCAGTCAGAGCGGGCAGAGCAGTCAGCTTAGACAGGGCAGTCAGTGCAGTCAGAGCGGGCAGAGCAGTCAGCTTAGACAGGGCAGTCAGTGCAGTCAGAGCGGGCAGAGCAGTCAGCTTAGACAGGGCAGTCA